TTGTCATTTTTTCAGTTTTAAATTAGATGTTTGATTATTTGAGATTTGTTTGTCGATAATATCAGTTCAAACTAACTCAGCGGGTCTAAAAAGTAAAAACTCAAACCAAAACCTGAAAATCAAAAATATAAACTTAAAACTAAAAACCAAAATTTAAAACAAAATCTAAAAAACAAAAACTTAAACTAAAAACTAATGAAAAACAATCATCACCACAAACTTTGGTGAACTGATTTTATACCAAAACATTCTTTAAATTAAGACAAAACTCAACTATATAATTTTTTAATCATAAAAAATTTCCGCGCTTTCAAGCGCGGGTCAAAATCTAGTCTATTCTATTAAAATAGAGTCATTTTTTATCTACTGATACAAGTTATCATTTAAATTTGGACCCTTTCTATAATGTTACAAATAATATAAGTCATATAACTGACTGAACCGTATTACTTAAATTAAACCAACACAATTAATGTAAAAAAATGACATTAATGTAAACTATCTTCAAAATACGGCAGATATCTATGTGTACCAAAAACACATATTTTCTCCTACAATTATGGAATGTTTAAAAAGAATATATATCAGCAAAATATAGAATATGGAAATCTACTAATTATACTTAAATTAAACCAGTGGTTATTTATGAAATATAGTTTTGGGCTTACTTTTATTTTTTGAACAAATTATATAGTTTGGTTTTTAGGCTTAATATTAAGAAAAAACTCCAAAAAATATTGAATAAACTTTTCACCTTAAAAGATCAAAAAATCAATTATTATTTTCAGATCGAAAAGATATTTAATATTTTTAACAAAACAAAATTATCTATTATTAATCATTTATTTAAATCATGTACTTTAAAACATGTTAATATATTTTTTATTTTAAATAACAATCACTTTGTTTTGATAAATTTCAATTGTAACTTTCAAATAATTTATTGTTTTATTTTTCTTAAATAATTTACTGATTAAAAAATGTAAAGCAAAACCAAAAACCAAATCTAAAAACTAAAAACTATAATCCAAAACCAAAAACTGAAAACACATATTATATTTTTTTTGCTTTGTTTATTTACAATATAAACTATTTCAATTTTTTTTTAATTTTTTTTTCATCTTTTCAGTTTTAAATTAGATGTTCGATTATTTGAGATTTGTTTGTTGGTAATATCAGTTCAAATTAACTCAGCGGGTTTAAAAATTAAAAACTCAAACCAAAAACTGAAAATGAAAAGTAGAAACTTAAAAGCTAAAAACCAAAAACCAAAATCTAAAAATAAAAAATCAAACTAAAAACTAATGAAAAACAATCATCACCACAAATTTTGGTGAACTGATTTTATATTAAAATATTCTTTAAATTAAAATAAAACCTAATTATATAAATTTTTAATCATAATCTAGTACAATTTAAAAATAACTAACTTATCATTTGAAAACTCACGACTATTTACATATAATAAATCATCCATGTCCATGAACTTTAGATTGTAAATCTTTTGACAGATTTACTAAAATTGTGAAGAAAACAAAGTTGTGTTTCAGTGATCCGATTTCAATCCGGTGGTGTTGCCTTGTATTATAACCAACAACAATCAATATTTTCTGGTTTACATTTACCGGCTCAGTCGCTGCAGATGGCAGCAACTTCTTCGATGACCGAGAGTGTTCGTGCCGCCAGTGCAGTGATTGCGTCCGATCCAAACTTTGCGGCATCAATTACGCCCATTATTAATGGTTCCAGTCATCAGAATAATAACAGCAATAATACCAATCTGGCTACGAGCAATGGTGACAATATATAGGAAGTATGAGTCTTTGTTTTGATGGTTGATTTTATTTAATGATACTTTGTTTTGAATTTTGGTTGTGTAAATTCGTATTCTTAGTTTTGCTTTTGTTCGTCAACAAGAAGGGTCTTCAAGAACATGTTTTTTCTCTCTGTTCATCATATAAGATCAACGTGTTTGTCGGAATTTAAATTTCTATTTGAAATATATCTTATTTAAAATTTAGACGAGATTAATCTCTCAATAACTCACAGAAAAACAACTTGGTGCCTTCTTTGAGTTTATTCTCATCCATTATTTATAATCTTGTATGATTCCTTGCTTCTGTTTCAAGTTTTATTCTCGACCAGTATAACTTGTTAAAAAGTTATTACATCTTAAGTTTAGACTACTTTCTTGAAGCTCTAAAATTATCTTTGTAATATTTAGAGTTAATTGCTGTAAAAGGAGAAAGATGATTTCACGAGGAACAATTATGGTAAATTTATCTAAGATGGGATAAATAACAACTAATGAGCATCCATGTCTTCCCAAGATATCATTATCGTTACGTACTTTTGCACTAAAGTGACTTTCATATTGGATGAAATCAAAAATTTGGGTTAGAAACAACATTTTCAAATCCAAATTGAACAATTTATTTATATTAGTATTTGATCACCTGGCTTTTAAAGTTTTTTTTTTTTTTTTTTTTGTAAGATACCTGGCTTTTAAAGTTTCAAGTAACAACATTGTTCTTTACTTCAGTCGGTCTTAAAGGAGATGATCTTGCTTTTACTACTAGAGATTGTCTATAATAAAGGTATATGCAATTTTGTTTTAAACGTGTAAACTCACATACTTTGATGTTGCTATTGCTTAACTAACAATTGGTTCAAACGAAGTACGAACGAACTAGCAAGCATATTTTCAAAAAAAAAAGAGTATGAATGAACTGACTAGCAGTAAGGAAAGTTCGTTTATGTTGTTTGACTAAATTACATAACGATAGTATCTTCGTCTAGTAAGTTATTAGAGTTGTATTTTTTTCATATGAATGAGATTAGTTTTTTTCCGACGTGAAACTATTGGATTTTTTTAAAGTAGTTATAATTTCTTAATAAACATTTTTATATAATTATTAGTTTTAAAAGTTGTGTCTTTTCATATGAAATTAAGATTTGTTTTGTTTTTCCAACATGTAACTATTGGAAAAGATTTTAAAATTAGTTAAAAATATCTCAATCAATAAGTGTATTTCTAAATTATTAATTTTTATGAATTGTGTATTTTCATTATAATAGACAATTTAATTATTGATAAGTTGTTAAAATATACCTTTCATATGTAATGGAGTGTCTTTTCTAGTGATGTGTCTATTCATAATATATTATAAAAATACTATCTTAAAATAATTATATACTCTGGAATCCAAACAAATATTAAATGTTGTCTCTTCATCTTTAAAATGTATCTTTTCATTTTAAAAGTTGCATTGATTTAAAAGAAGTTATCAAATATATAAGTATGTTATTTCATCTTGTGTTTCTTATTTTAATAATTATATTTGTTTAAATGTCCAAAATGTGTCTTTGCATACTAATAATGTGTTTCTTCATCCTAAAAAACTGCATGATTTTAAAATAAGTTGTCAAAATTTATAAATATGTTAGTTTTATCTTAACTATTTCATTGGTTAAAAAAATTATTTATGTATCAGTTTTGATATGTGTTCTTTATTTAGTGAATCAATATTACAAGTAGAATTATTATTGGTTTAAGTGAATCTTTGCAGCCGATTAAGGAATCATTGCAGGTGTTTGGTAGAATAGTTACAACTGCTTATGTAAAACATGTAATTGTAGCATTTGGTACAAATCGTTGTAACTTTTGGTGTTAACAAATCACTGCAACTTTTATTCCTCTATATAAGAAGTTGTGAGCATTGATAAATCATAACCAGAAATCACAACAATCACAAAATAAAAACCATTAAGGATTTCAAAAAGTTAAATCCTTGGTTTATCAATTAGTAAATTTTAATTGCATTAGTTTAATATAATAAGTGTTGAAGGTGGTATGAAAAATGAGGAGGGTCATATTAATATAAGTCTAACATATATTTTTTATGATATCCAATTTTAGTTTATCTTAAGGATTGAATGAGGTTAAAAGTTGTCAAAATGTCTAAATATATAATTTTATTCTAAGAATTACATTGATTAAAATATTTTCTTTTATGCATAGTATGTATATGTGATATTTATTTAGTGAATCAATTATTACACATTAATCAGAAATTACTGTTAAGGATTTAAGTGAAACTTTCCAACCGTTTAAAGTAACCATTGCATTTTTTTTTTTATGATGGAACAGCTGCAACAGATTAAATGAAGCATTGCATCTATTCGTAAATATAATTTTTTGTGAAATTTCAGTGTCATCTTTTGGTGATTACTCTTTCTAACTGTTGATGATTTGGAGACAAACCATTGTACTTTTGGTGTTAAACCATTGTAACCCTTAAAATAACTATTGTAATGTTTGGTTAACAACCATTGCAATTTTTAGTCATCTATATTAAAAAAATTGAAGACATTAATAAATCACAATTAGAAAATCACAACAATCACAAAAGAATGGAGAAGTAAGAGATTCAAAGTTAAACAATTTTCAAAGATTAAAAAAGCACACATAAAAATTATTTGTTATTCTTGTATCTTAACTTAGTTTGGAGAATTTTGATAGAGAAACTGGTAGGATTTTAGAATATTTGTTTTATTTTAATACCAGTTTAGCTTAAATGTTATTTAAAAAATTTAATGCAAACCATTAAATAATTTGAAGAAGGTAAATCTATAGTTTTTAACTTGACTGATATGGTTCTGATTGGTAACGACTTTCGCTTTAGGCTTTGGCTTTAGAATTTTGGCTGTAGAGATTTTGACTTTAAAGACTGTAGTTGTTGCTCTAGATATTTTAAAAAGTCTGATTGGTATCAAGAGCTTTACAAACTGTGACTATTATAAATATATATTTATATTATAAATTATTTACAAAAACTAATATAAAATATGTAAGTATGTAATAGTTTATTTTGGTGCCCGAATGTCGAGTTGTTATTTATATTTATTTATAAAAGTACACAAAATCTTTAGCAAAATAAAATATGAGAAGCAAGAAATTTCATATTTATTTTTTTATTTTCCGGTTTAATAATCAAAAACTACTTTAAGAAGTGGAATAAATTGAAAAAAATTTGGATGAAGTTGTTGAACTTCTGGATTTTCGTGATACATGTTGTAACACATTTTCAAATGATCTAAATGATTTTTTCCGTGTTTCCAACTCAAACTAGCTCCAAGCTGGTCGTTGAAATTCTTCAAAATCTTTGCTTTCTGAATATTATTTAGATTGTTCTTGTAGTTACTTCCATTTTTTTTTTGCAAAATAATTTGTTGAAGAAATACTGTTGTAGCATCGTTTGTCCATTTAAAACCCTGAAAATTTGAAACATATTTAAATAATTAATTTTAATAAAAAAAATTATACATTATACCAATACTGAAATTAATAACTTTCAAATACTCACTTAAAATGTATAGCATTTAAAAATAAAATTGATACCTTATACTCATGAGTAGATGATGAAACCATACATGTTGAGTTTGGAAGATTGAAACCTACCAAAACCATTTACAGCGAACGTATTTGTTTATCAAAGTTTCATAGTATTTATAATATTAATGGTGTTCTATTTTTAGTTCAACAAAAATAGGAAGCTATATTATTGTAATATAACACACAATAAATAATTGGCTAAATCTACTAGTCAAAGATGTTGCTAAATTTTTGTGATGAAAATTTCATTCAGTTTACTTTTTTACTTATTCAAACACATAATATATTAGATAAATGGAAAATGTAAACAATAAAAATGATTAATATAGTGATTTTATTTATTTACTATCAAAATAAAATAAGTAACAATGATTTTTTTTAGTATTATCATTTATTAAACATATTTTATCATTTAATTTTTGTTTTGACTCATTAATTAATACTTTGCAGTAATCTATATAATAACTTTAAATCTTTAATAAATTAATGTCTAATAATAACAAGTTATGACTCTTCTTGGTAACAAAATACTAACTACTCAATGAAAATCATTCTTCTAATTATGTAATTTTCTTGTTATTTCTTTTACTTGATTGAAAATAAAAGAGAAAAACAAAAATATAATTGAGATCACGTTAGTTTTTAAGAAAATGAGAAAGAGAGAAGTCTTCAAAGCCTTAAAAAGTGGCTGTAGAAAAAGGTAAGCAAAAAACAGTTTTTTTTTTAAATAGGCTTTTAAGACTTTAGAGATTTCTAAAGCCTAAAAAAACTGATTGGTAAATTTTTGGCTTTCATGGCTTTACATAACCACAAAGCCTCAACAGCCCCATTACCAATCTGACTCATTATTTAGTTATTATGTTAATATAATAAATGTTGGTGTTTTATAAATTGAAGGTAATATTATAAATTAGAAGGATCATATAAACAAAAATTAACATATATTTATCACGATATCAAGAGTAGCATATTATATTTATAAAATGAGGGTTTTTTTCCTAATATTTTATAAGAGGATATTATAACTATAACATTCTTCACACTGAAAAAAAGTTTTATGAAAAAGTTTGATCAATCAGGAGAGGGATCAGATGGAATGACAAAGAAGAGTGCTCAATTGTCGTAACAGGCGGAGCGAAACACTCTTCTCGCATAAATAAGCGAGTAGTAACCACTCCTCATTTCCCCTTTCACTTGCCTGAAGGATCATGTTTTTAATCTAACACCAACACTAACCTTTTTATACCCAAACAATAGCTTCCCCAACTTCACTCCTGACCGATGTGGGACTCTCCTCAGTTTCTTTCTTTTCACTTGAATCAAAAAAACCCTAATTTCAAAATCTCAAGAATAATGACCACAACAACCATCTCTCGGCATGATTTCTATGGTGATGATGGAGATCCCGAAACTTCCATCTCTGTATCTGTTATCGAGGTACTAAGCGTGAATAATGGCCATTTCTTCTTCTTTAGAAGGTTTCATTTTCATCGCTCGTTTTTCTTAATGTGTAGAATATGAAGGAAGAGTACGGTTTGTTCGTTTGGCCTTGTAGCGTCATCCTCGCCGAGTATGTTTGGCAACACAAATCTCGATTTCGTGGCTCTTCAATTCTTGAGGTAAAGCAACCACTTCTGATTGCAATCTGAGAACAGAGATTGCGTGAATGTTTCGAAGTTTTTGCTGATTACAGAATTAGGATTATGTGTGATTGTGTTCTGTGTTTGGATTAGCTAATTAGATCTCTTTTTGGGTATAGTCGTTTGATACTTTCCTTTAGACTTTGTGTTTGATGTAATTTGCAGTTAGGAGCTGGAACTTCCTTACCCGGTTTAGTAGCTGCAAAGGTTGGAGCTAATGTCACCCTTACCGATGACTCTAGTAAACCAGAGGTATATGCTAATGTCTTGATAAGCTTTTTCTCTCATTTGGTGCAGAGATTATTAACTTATCTTTCACCATAAATGTGCAGGTTTTGGAGAATATGAGAAGCGTTTGTGAGCTTAACAAGCTCAACTGTAATGTAACGTATACCATCTTTTCACTTTCGTCAACTTAACACCTGCGGAATTGACTATTGCACAGAGCCACAGATCATCATTTGTTGCATATATAATGCTCCTATGCGTACATGTTTGTTTGTTGGGGTTTGGATTACGGATTACCATTCTCGTGACTCATGAGATTATTCATTGAATAGTAACATGTGGTTTTGTCTGTTGCAGGTGATGGGTCTCACTTGGGGAGTGTGGGATGCAACCATATTTGATCTGCGGCCTAATATTATACTTGGAGCTGATGTTTTGTATGATTCAAGTGGTTAGTTCATTGTTTTTTGGTGGAGTCGTGGATTTCCCTATTTTATTCTTACCATGAATTTGAATGTGAATCATGAATCTTTGTTTTGTAGCGTTCGATGATCTCTTTGCCACCGTCTCGTTTCTGCTTCAAATGTCCCCTGGTGCAGTTTTTATCACTACATATCATAACAGGAGGTACACAATTCATTCATTCTCGTCATCTAGTATTTCTGCAAAAGATTGTGATGGCGATTTTAAATTGATATTGCAGTGGGCATCATCTGATCGAGTTCCTGATGGTGAAATGGGGTCTAAAGTGCGTTAAACTTGTGGATGGCTTCTCCCTTTTGCCATCTCGCAAGGCATCTTTACTAACCGGTAACATTCAGCTAGTTGAGATCGTGTTGAGTTGTACAACATCAGCAACCTAAGTCAGACTGGAAAATAAGAGCCGGAGGTCAAAGGTATTAAGTATTATAGGACTAGTGCCTAGTGGAAATCCGTAGACTCGGGAACTTAGGGTTAATCAAGCGCATTTACTATAATAACTCTTTGTTTAACATCAAATATAGACCTCTACCCAGAAAATCAACCAAGAGCTTAGCTGAATTTTCTCTCGTAATGAAATCATACTTCTCTAGTATACCCGTTGTTTCCTCAGATAATAACGGTTTTTGATGTTGCTTATCAAGCAAAACATTGTAAATGAAGATATTAGCTTCAAGACCACACTTGAGATTGAGAACCTTTGATGTCCTCTTAAAAGTCCTGAGGAATTCTGTGTAGAGTTTACTGAATCACCCCAACGGGTTTCTGTATTTTGTAGGAAATCGGTATCGAACTAATGGTTGAACTGTGTCAGTTACCTGAGAATGAATCTGCACCGAAGAAAAAGAAGATGCGAGTTTAATCAGTGAAACACATGTTCTAAACACGTGACCTCCGTTAAAAACATGATGCATGCTTGGTTATGCATACCTTAGTCTTCGTTTATGTACTTAATTGCAAAATGTTCTCAAATGGTATATGTACTTAAATTACCGTAATCTAGTCCCAATTATTTTGAAAGGATAAGTTTTTTTTTCCCGTGAAAGTTAAGAGATCAAAGGCCATATGGAAACTACAAACCTTTTGTATGGCCTTGTCTCATTATTTAGAATAGAGATTCACGTAGGGCTGGACAAATAAACTGAATCCAAACGGAATCCGATCCGATAAAACTGAATCCGAACTGATCCAAACCTGATAGAAATATCAAATGGATCTTATTATATGGTATTTTGAATTATGGGTATTATCCGAACCTAAATGGATATCCGATAGAAACATTCAAAATCTCAAAAAAACTTGTACCAAACATGATTTCAATTCTTAAAATATATATATATCCAAAATACTTTAAGATATTACTGAACATTTAAAATAATTATATTTTACATGAACGTTGATGGTGGTTGAAGCTTGAAAATTTCAGATTTTTACTTTATTTTCACTGAATAATGTTTCTCATTTTATGAGAATTTGGTTTGATTTTATATCTATCACATTTGATGTTGTTTTCTTATTTTTCGAATCAATTTTACTTGTGTTTTGGTTACAAAATAAGTATAGATCATGTATTTTAAATTCAAAAAATCATTTTTACTTATGTTTTGGTTACAAAGTAAATACAAATAAGGTATTTTAAACCAAAGAAACGACTGGGACTCGAAACTGAAAATACAATGGACTGTACCAGTTCTTCAAAAATTTACTACACCAGAGAGATGGCTGGAAGCTACAAGTCAGTCATTGGGGAGAAAGGTGGTACTAACTAAGGCGGATCTACTCGTGTCGATGGATTTACTTAGAGGTTCCCCTAGTTTCTCACCAGTCCGGTTTCTCACCAGTTATATGTTTAATACATTTATATTTCATTTACAATATGTATTAATAGAGAATGATTTATATAACTCTCTATTAACATGAAAATAATAATAATAAGTAAATACACAATTTAATAAAATAGAAAAATTACACTAAGCATTAAACATCTATCTTAAAATGTAAGATATAGATAGTAGGTGAATATATAATATACAAATAATAATAAAAAAAAAAATAATATACCATTTTAAAAAAAAAAATGAAATAATAAATTAAGCATTAAACATCTTTATTAAAATATAAAATATAGATATTAAGTAAATATATATTATACGAAAAATAATAATAATGAATAAATACACAATTTAAAAAATTTGAAAAATCATTAAACACCTATCTTAAAATGTTAAATATATATATTAAGTATAATAAATGAAAATACTCAGTATAAAAAATGATAAGTAAATACACAGATTTAAAATGGAAATAGTACATTAAAAAGAAAATATACATTTAAATATGTAAATATAGATATTAAGTAAATATATAATACACCAAAATAATGATGATAAGTCACTAAACAATTTAAAAAGTGTATATGTACACTTATCATTACACATCTATCTTTAAATGTGGATATTAAGTAAAATAAAGTATAAGAACCCGAAATACACTTTCTAATGAAAAATAAATAATAAATAAATTCAAAATTTAAAATTTAAATATAATATTTAAAATTATACATTTAAATATGTAAATATCTAATATACAAAATAAGAATACATAAAGACACATTTGTTTTAAAAAAATGGGAAAGGTACATTAATCATTAAATATTTATTTTAAAATGTAAAATATAGATATTAAGTAAATAAAGTATAAAATGGAAATACACAGTATAAGAAAAAAATGATAATAAGTATACATAATTTAAAATGGAAATGTTACATTAGAAATTCAACATATATCTTAAATGTAAAAGCATATATTACTTAATATAAAGTATAAGAAACATATATACACAATATAAGAAAAAATAAATAATAATTAATATAATTTTTAATATCGAATGTTACATTAAAAATTATATTAAAATGTTAAAATAAATAAATAAGTAATATACAATATAAAAAATTGGAATACTATATCAAACAAAGAAAGAAAAACGTATAATTTTACAGCAAACAATTCCCTATAAAACTCATTATTTCATCGACATCAAGCTCGCACCCATCAAAGAAGACTCCAAAGCAATTCAGGAAAAAAAACAATGGCTCCACCATCAACTTTTGATGTCCCAAAAACATTTGATGACCTCGAATGAGATTTCTGTAACAATGAACTTTTGGTTAGGGTGATTCATTGATGGGAATCCCACAACTTCCAAAACAGAAACCTACTTATATGAGTTGTTATTCTCCTCATAGAGTCAAAGGTATTATCGCAAATTAAATTATTCTAATTTTTAATCATCTTGGGTTTCAAATTACTTTTTTTCCCAACTGATTTTAAATATTCAAAATTATATAATCCCAACATTATAGAAAAATATATTAAATGTTCTGTATAGTATTTTAATTAAATAACTTTAATTGACTAATAGTAATGTTGTGCTTAAAATATAGTTTTTAAAAAGCTTTCAAATATTTTTTAAAGAACATAATAGGTGATGAATTTAATTTCTTAAATTAAATTATTATCTAAAACTTCGGTTTTTAAAAACATAGTAAGTTATAAACATCAATGATGGAGTTTGTGAATATAAGCACGAAGACAAAAATATAAATATTTAATTTTCAAGTAATAAATTCAACTTTTTATTCATTTATCAATATATAATATCTTACATTTTTTAAATTATACATAAATTATATAAAAAATAATCTTCCAAAAATACACTATCTATACTATTATTTAAGAAGTAAATTTGCTTAGTTGTCAACTTCTCCTTATTTTAGATAAATTTTTTTATTTACCTTATTTAAATAATTTCATATAAAATTTATTATTTAATAAAAACGAATTTATATTAATACTCTTATATTTTTTAAAATAATATAATTCTTATGAATTATGTTGTTATCTTGAAATATATTTTTATATATAAAACTTAAATTTTAAATTAAGATATAAACACTATTATATTTATCTACAACGAATCTATACTATTATTTAAAAAGTAAATTTGCTTAGTTGTCAATTTCTCTTTGATTTTAGGTAAATTTTTTTATTTACCTTATTTAAATAATTTCATATAAAATTTATTATTTAATAAAAACGAATTTATATTAATACTCTTATATTTTTTAAAATAAGATAATTCTTATGGATTATGTTGTTATCTTGAAATATATTTTTATATATAAAACTTAAATTTTAAATTAAGATATAAACACTATTATATTTATCTACAACGAATTTATATTAATAACTTAGTATTTAAATATAATTAAAACGAATTTATATTCATAATTTAATATTTTTCTAAAATTAATATATAAAAATTATAATATTAATAATTAAAACGAATTGCTATTAATAATATTATACTTTTAGAAAATAAGATAATGCTTATGTATTATATTGTTATCTTAAAAATATATTTTTTATCATAGAAATAAAAATTAAGTTAAAATATTAATAGTTAAATATAAAAAAGCAATACTGATTTATCAATTTCTCCATGGTTTTATACTTTGCTTATTTATCATATTTTAATAATTTCATATATAATTTATTAAATAATAAAATAAATGTATATAATAATACTAGATTTTAAAAAAAGATAATTCTTATCTATTGATTGTTATCTTAAACATATATTTTCTATTAGAAAATTTAAGTGAATTATCTGATTTGTAATTTGTCCATGATTTAGATAATTTTGATTATTTGTCATATTTTTAATAATTTCATATAAAATTTATTATAAAATAAAAACGAATTTCTACGAAAAATTATATTTTGATAAAATAAGATACTTCTTATGTATTATATTGTTATTTTGAAAATATATTTTTTATTATAGAAATAAAAAATTAAGATAGAAAAAATTATAATTAAAATAAATTAAAGCAACACATTTGTAAAAATATATTTTTAAAAATATTTTATTATGTGAGTGTTGTCATTTAATTAATTTAAAAAATAAATCATAACTTATTATTTTGGTTTGAATTAATAAAATATAGATTAATAATAAATTATATGAAAATTATGTGATCAAGGAAAAAGCCCAGTCAGCCACCAACTCGGTGCAGCCTCTCCAGTCTTTGCTTAAGAACTTTTCTTTCTTACTGATTGAGGATTCCTAATGTGATGAAAGCTAAATTAAAGCTAAAGCTCTTTCTTTTAAGAAAGCATCTGGTTCGGTCAGGCCTTCAGAAAGACTTGTTCCATCTTAATCTTCTAGTTTTCACTCTTCTAGTTTGCCGCGGACTCTGCTCTTAGAGTCGATTCCTACTCTCGAACAGAAAGCAGGTAAGCCCTTCAAAGGGAGGAAGACCATCGAAGGCTGTTGCTGGGAGAGGTCCATTAGTCCGGGTCGATTGCTTCCATCCTCAATTGCTTCTTTTGAAGGTTACATGCCTGCTGTTGAAAGCCTGGGACGAGACAGAGTTAGTAGGCTTTGATCCTGCGGTTGAAGGTGATATACCAACAACATGAGCTAGCATGGTTTCGAGTGCGATAACATGGGATATGGATATGTTTTCAGGATCGTCTCACTCCAGTCAAATATGTATGTGGTTGGGTTCGAATCCCAATGAGCTATGAATTCGAGGAAAGGACTCTCATCCCCTGAATGAGCATCCCCCGAAACCGATCTATCATGTAGGTTCAGATCCACAAAAGCACCGGCATTCCCTGGTCCTCGGGAATGGTGGTCGCGTACTTCATCTGACGATACGAAGGTATCGGATAGATTGAAGAGTCGTAAGTCGACTTGAATCACCTCAAGGGGTGTAGGTGAGCCCGGTGGTATAAGTGCTTATGTTGGAAAGGCTCTACCCGTTGTATTGTGTAGTGGGAGTAGTCGTGCTAATGTTGAGAAGCAGAGTAAGAAGGCTTGCAGACCTTCTTAGTCCATGCTTTCTATTCTATGTGCGTGGATGTCACTATTGATTCAATTGGCCATCATTTTCACTTAAGCATTCACTTACAACAAGAAACAACCACCAGCGTTTGGTGCAGCACCTGCA